TGGTTCTTCACTCCGAAATGTAACTGTTGTAAATAAACGTCGGCTGGAGATCGGTACGCAGTCGTGGTTCATTTTAGCAGCTGCACTCATCTGCCCAAGAAAAATGAAAACTGTTCAAAATGTTTGTCGATTCATATTTTGTCTCTGTGAACACACTGATACAAACTAACTTTAGGGATGATTAGTTTGGTTCTCTCTCCTACATTTTCTGAATCTTCCAATAAAACAAAAAAAAAAGAAAAGAAAAGAAAAGAAGAAAGTTGTCCAAACATTTGCTTAACCTCTTAACTGTCCACCTCAAAATGTAAGTGGCTCCACGAAGACACTGGAGGCTCATCAATACTGATGAACCTCTAAAACATTCCTTTTGGTCAAGACTTTTATTTATTTTTCCCCCCCAAATGTTTCTACATTTTGGTTTGTTTTTGATTGAATAAAACATGATATTTTTGTCACAGTGTTATCCTTTCTAATTTTGTGCTTGTTTAACTTGCTTCACCAGCTGTATTTTTTTTTTTTTTTACCACAAATGTTTAGGAACTGAGAAAAAAAAGGGATCTCTTTACTTAAGATGTTTTCCACATGTGCTTTGCATATGCATTGTCCCTCTGTGTCGGGGGGTCGTAACCTCTCCTGTCTCTCAGACTCAGACGCCCTCAGGTAAAAAAAAAAAAAAAAAAGGCCTACAAGCTCGAGGCTGTTCCGTCAACGAAGTGGATTCCAACAAATTCCTTCTAAACAATGTAGAGAAAGCGAGAGAGAGAGAGGGGAAAAATACCCTCTTACTATTTTCTCTTTTTACATCTCACTAACTTGAGTTTTTTTTTTCTCCTCTCTCCCTCTTTAATCCCTCTCTTCTATTTCAACGACAAAAAAAAAAGAAAGAAAGAAAGAAGAAAACACGTTCACGCAGTGCTTTAGTTGCGGAAAGTAAATGAGCTTCTGTTTTTTTTTCTTTCTCTCTTTCTTTTTCCGTCTCTTTCTCTGTGAATCGCGCTGGAAAATTGCTTCCTTACAATCGAGTGGAGGAACAGCGTATAGGGCCCAAAGGGGCGTCTGCGCGCTTTAAACAGGTGGAAATTGGAGGTCCAAAGTGTAAAACTCGGCTTGTTTAAGTGAGGATGAGAGAGAGAGAGAGAGAGAGAGAGAGAGAGAGA